GCCCCCCCTGCCCCCCCCAACTCACCGGGGCCGCTCCGCTCCGCGCTGCCTCCACCTGCACCGCCGGCCCCGCCCCCTCTGACGTCACCGCGCCGGCCCCGCCCCACCGCGCGGGCGGCCGCGCCCATTGGCTGCCGGCCCCGCCCGTCAAGCGCGCGCCGGGGAGGGGCGTGGCCGCCCGAGCGCCGCTGCAGTGGGCGGGGCCCGCAGGTGAAGGGGCGTGGCCAGGGATCCCCCCTCCCAGCGCCCCGTGACGTCACCGGCCCATATAAGGAGAAGGAGCCCCCGCGGGGATCCCCGCGCGCCGTGGGGGACCCCGGGCTGGGCCGGGAGAGCCCCAATACCCCCCCCCCAAAAAAAAAATCGGTGCTTTGGGGGATTTTGTTTTTTTGCTCGTTTTCACCCACTTTCTTAACTTTTCTTAGGGGAACCCCTTCCCTGCGGGGACCGGGCCAGCCGGGGGTTCCCCGTCCTGCGCCCACCCCGAGCGGCTGCGGCGTGGCTGGCGCTGATAAACGGCTCCGGGGTCCCTGAGATGCCCCGAACCCAGCCCCATCCCCGGGGCCACACCCGGGCTATCGGGGCCGCGCAGGCGGCGGCTGCGGAGATAAGGGGGGACAGCGGCTCCCGCGGGACCGGGACAGCCATGGAGGGGGCGGCGGGCTGGAATTCGATCCCGGTCCCGGCCCGCTCTGCTGTCCCGGCCCTGCGGTGGCACTGGATGCCGGGGCTGGGCTGGAGCAGGTGGATGCTACCCCAGGGTCACCCCCAGCCCCCCAGGGCCAGCCAAGGCCTTGCGCCCCATCGCACCTTGCCCCGGGTCAGGGTGTCCCCCTGGGGACGGTCCCTGGTGCCACCTAATGGCCACCGCCCTGGGGGCACCGGCAGGGACTGTCACCGCGTGTCCATCACCGTGTGTCCCCCCCTCTGCCTCCACCAGGGCCTTTCCAGCCCCCAGAGAGCCACAGGATGGATCCTGCCCCGGGCTCGGAGCCTCAACACCCCGCAGCTCAAGTGCGATGGGGGCTCGTCCCCGCTGCCCCTCCCTGGGAGCCCTAAGCCTTCCCCAGGGAGGAGGAAGATTTGGGGGGAGGAAGAGCCTCTCGCTCCCACCCCGGTGGGAGGGGAGGGAGCCCCTGGCTAATGTGATGAGAGGGGGATGAATCCATAAGCTGTTAAGCCGCTGCAAAGCCCCTCGCGTTCTGGCCCCGCTATCACCGACTTCTGCTCACATCTGCTCCCGGGGTTATTTTTAATCGGGTATTAAGGATTTCTGGGTCCTTCAGCAGGCAGAGCGGGGGCTCTGCTTTTCCCCCCCCCCAAGCAGAAGCTGTGATTTGCGGGCCCCTGAGACACCAACATCAGCTGCTATTTGGGTGGGGGGAAAGGGACCTTCTGGGGGACCCCCATCCCCTCCATACCCAGCCATCAGCTCTGCAGAGGGTCCCAGCACTGGTCCCTCCAGGCTGGGAGCACTGGGGAAAGGCTGGAGGGGGAACCAGGCAGGAGCCTTACACGGGACATAAAAGATACATAAACAAACAAATAAATGTATAAAATATATAAAAAATAAAGAGATATTTATTAGCATTGAGTAAAGTGCAACCTCAGCGTGGTTGGAGGTTCAGCAGCCGAGGGAATGGCAGGAGAGAAGCTCAGAGAGAGGGAATGGCACGAGCAGGGCTGTGCCAACAGGATACAGGAACTGTACAAGGGTCTTAAAAACAGATAAACAACACCAGATAAATTATTTACGGTTCAAATCGATTCAGGAGGCTGAAGGCTCAGGAGCTGCTGCAGGCTGGGAGAGCAAGAAGAGGGGCTGGGATGGGACACAGGCCCTGAGCTGGTATCTCAGGGGAGTTTGGGGGTTCAGGGCAGCAGCTGGGACTGTCCTGTGGCATCAGGCTCTGCTCTGGGGGGAGATGTAGTGGGGTAAAGCCTTGGGCCTGCTGCTCCTGCTGGAACAGGAATTCATTGGGATTTGCACACGGGATGTGATGAACAGGATCAGGCCCTGTGCCTGGGCGTCTCTGCTAAAAATCAGCAGAGGTTTTCACACAAGAGCTCAGCAGTTCCATGGAGCTGTGGAGCTGCAGGGGCTGCACTGCTGCTGGACACACCACCAGCACCTTCCTGGGCTGGTGGCCTCTCCTGGAGCTGTGGGCTGGCAGTGGGATATCCTTAATGGCAGAGACTCTGTCAGGGCTGTGACCAGGTGGGATTCCTACTGGAGACCTCAGTGCCAACAGCTCTCTGTGTCACTGTCTAAGTAACTCCAGAGGGGATCTGCTCCATTTACAAATACAAGAATTTTTCTTGCCAGTGCCTTAAACTCCCCAGGGAGGCCCAAGCTGAACAGTGCTCCTCCTACTCACAAACATCCAGAGCTACGACTCTGGAGCCAAAACACAGCTGCAGCCCCTCTGTGGGGTCCAGCCTCTCTCTCACCCCAGAGCCATTTCTGAAGAGATCAGGAAGAAATTCCTCCCTGTGAGGATGGGGAGGCCCTGGCACAGGCTGCCCAGAGAAGCTGTGGCTGCCCCATCCCGGGAAGTGTCCAAGGCCAGGCTGGACGGGGCTTGGAGCAACCTGGGCTAGTGGAAGGTGTCCCTGCCCATGGCAGGGGGTTAGAACAAGATGAGCATTAAGGTCCCTCCCAACCCAAACCATTCTATGGTTCTGTGAAATGCTCATCAAGGCACTAAAAGCTGCCCAGAGCAGCACCCACAGGGGACAGGTTTTGGTCTGGCAGCCTGGCCCACACCCAGTTCATGCTGGAGGAGCTCCTAGGGTCTGAATCAGGAACTGTGCCCGCTGTGCTCTGGGCTGGAGACAGGCTGGAGCCGCACGGCTTTGATCCACTCTCCCCTCTGGCCAGTGGGAACATGGATCAAGTTTGCAGCTCGAGCCTGTGTCTGGTCCTTTGCTGACCTGCACGGCACCGTGGGTGGGGGTCAGAGGGCTGGAGCAGCTGGGGCTGTTCCCCCCCAGACCTCAGCTCACTGGGACCACTGGTGTGAACAGTGCTGCTCTGGAGAGCACAGCCCCTCACAGAGGGGCAGAGGCTGCGTTGTCCTGGGACACAGCCACCAAAGCCCCTCAGATCCCTCCCGACACCTCGGATCCGGCCCGGGGAGGGCTATTGCCGCTCGCTCCTGACGTGGTCCCCGATCATCCGCCTGTGGTAGGTGGCCAGGAAGATGTCGTTGTCCCGGGGGCAGTCGTAGTGGCAGGAGCACACCTTGATGAACATCATCTTCCTGTGGAAGGAGTCCCCCTCGGGGCAGCGGAACTCCACCTCGGCGGTGCTGGTGAGGTCGGGGGTGCAGCACCGCCCGTCCGAGCAGCTCCCGCAGAACCGCGGCCGGTACGAGCGGGTGCTGGTGCACCCCGAGAACTCAAAGTGGAGGCTCTGGCGTGGCCTTGGGGTCCTCACACACTTCTTCCCTTTCTGGGGAGAGAGTGGATGGATTAATAATATAATAATAATAATAATAATAATAATGGCCAGTCTTCGCGAATGAAGATTTTGGGAAAGGTCTTTTACCTTTCAAGCCTGCGCAATGGATTTTTTAGGTGAGACACAGCATGTGCTGAACTGAGCCCACCCTTTAATCCTAAGGTTCATCTGCAGGGGCCAAGCAAGCTTGGACGATGGCAGTGAGGTCCTCAGGACGTAGGTTTGTTTAGAGTGACCTTCTCATAGATGGATGGCCTCACAGGGCTAACGGGCTCCATCTGCCCGGGGGACCGAGGAATCGAACCTGGGTCGCAGCGGTGAGAGTCCTGCATGCTAACCACTAGGCCACCAGGGGTCCGGATGGATTAACACAGGCAGGAAAGACACACCGAGGCCTCTGCTCCACCCCCGTCACTGCACAACGGGGCACGGAGACCGCGGAACCACGGAGCAAAGCCCCTGAGCCAGCGCCATTCCCAAGGGCTCCCCTGGCATTTGGGGAGCTGTGTCCCCCTCTCCCCAAGCCCCCACCTTGGTTTTCTCCATGGGGAAGTCGCAGGGCCGGACCATGCAGAGCCGGGTCTCCTTCTCCAGGCGGCACTGGGGGTTGTCGTTGGTGACGCGGGTGGAGATGCCCATCCCGCAGCTCCGGGAGCACGCGCTCCACGCCGTGGTCTGCACCAGGCAGTTCTCCTGCAGGTTGTTCAGCTCAGGCTTCTGGGCTGGGTCCTGCCTGAACACTGAGCCATGGGGAAGAGACACAAGGCGAGGCTCAGGGCTTGAGACAAAGCGTGGCAGCTCCACGGCTGCTCCCAACCTGGGCTAATGCTGCAGGAACAGCAGCAAAGGTCTGGCCCATCCAGTGAGCTGCTCGGCCTCTCAGCAGGGGGAGGATGCAGGGAAACATCTCCTACCACAGCACAGCTCCAACCAGCTTGCTGTGACACCACAGGGTGCACACAGCACCACTGAGCTCTCCCATCAATGGCTCTGATACCCACATGCCAGTGTACAAAACCATGACCAGTTCCAAACCAGTCAGTGACCCAATACACAGGTAGTTTGGATCCTCTCCTATTCCCCAGCAAACAGCTCTTGGCCCCATCCATGAGCCCCAATCCACAGGTAGTTTGGATCCATCCTTATTCCCTAGCAAACAGCTCCTGGCTCCATCCCATGAGCCCCAATCCACAGGTAGTTTGGATCCATCCTTATTCCCTAGCAAACAGTTCCTGGCTCCATCTCATGTGCCCCAGTTCAGAGATCCTTTGGATCCACTTCTCTTCCCCAGGAAACAGCCCCCAGCTCTGTCTCACATGCCCCAATCCACAGGTAGTTCGGATCCACCTCTCTTCCCCAACAAACAGCTCCTGGTCCCACCTCACACACCACAATTCCACAGGTAGCTTAGATCCCATGTACCCCAATCCACAGGTGGTTTGGATCCACTTCTCTTCACCAGAAAACAGCTCCTGCCCCCATCCCCCGTGCCCCAGTCCACCGGTAGTTTGGATCCTTCCCTATTCCCCAGCCAACAGCTCCTGTTCCCATCCCGCCCACCCCACTCACCCGCCATGGCCGTGCCCAGGTCGTTGTCACTGCCCTCCTCACACACCCACTCCTCACAGCACTTGTTGTGGACCCTGACCCTGCGGGGGTGGGGGCAGTCGGGGGACGGCAGGCGCAGGTCGTCGGAGCAGAGCGGGATGCAGCCCACGGCGCCGTCCAGGCAGATGCACTGCAGTTTGCACGTGGGCTGGAAGCTCTCCCCGTTCAGGTAGATCTTGCCCAGCAGGTCACACGTTGCACCCTCGTGAGCTGTGGGGGGAGGAGGAGGAGGAAGAGCTGAGCGAGAGGCTGAAGTTCTGCCTCAGGGGGACACGGGGCTGCCGAGAAGGGACAGAGCCCACCCTGCCCTGCTCTGCCATCCCAGTGCTGGATTGTTTAATATTTGCCTCCCTGGATTCAAGGCTGCTCCTGACATGGATTTTTTGGAACCGCCAACCCTCCCAAAGCTCTCTAGAAAAATTTCTCTCCATTTGGGTGAGCTGTCAAGTGTGACTTTGTCTTTACAGCCCGTTCCCCAGTCAGTGCCCGGTCAGTGGTGTCACATCCCTGACATGGCACATGAGCAGCAACTTTGCTCCTCAATACTCCTGGCAGACCAAAAGGCAACATTCTCCTGAGAGCAGCTGGTTCCCACGTGGCTGATGGCACCTACAAAGGAAATGACACTTTGGGCTGGTGACCTTTCTGGCCCCTCTGTGATGCACAAATCTCTTCTTCCTTCCAGCTCCAATTTTTTCTAGTTCTCTCTCTTCTGATCTCCGTGTCTCTCATCTCCAGCCCTCCTACCAGTCTTTCCCTCCTTCCTAATAAAACTTGGGCATAAAAGGAAACACAACAATATCTGACACAGAGCAGCAAAACCTTCACTCTGCTCCCCAGCTCTTATATCTGGCTTGGCCAAAAACTTTCCCAGTGGAAGTTTTCCAGCAGAAATCTCTTATTTGATTGAGATCAGGAATGGTTTCAATAGGAACCAACTGAAGCATTTCATTTTTATATCAAAGATTTCCTTTGTGCTCAACCAAAATACTTGTGGGACAGTGTCCGTGGTGGGAAGTGTTTTGCTCTGGTAATTATTTTAGGCACTATAAAAGATCAAGATGAAATATATTGATAAAATGGAAGCAGAAAGTTTTGACACAGCCAAATGAGTATTCTAAATAAATCATGAAAAAAATTGAGGTTTTTTTTTAATATATAGATATTTAGATATATTTTTATATTTTTTTTTCTATCAGCCTGAAATGAAATGTTGAAATCTCAGAGTTGTTCACGGGACAGAAATCCTGATTTTGGACAGTTCTCAGCAGCTGCTGCTTCCTGCAAAAAACCATGCAAACCTCTATTGGGAAGCTACCAAAGTGAAGGATTCTTGGCTGCTTGTGGAGGCTTCCCAGGAAACCTGATCTATTTTGCCCTTAGTCCTGCTCACCCAGGGGACACAGTGTCAGACAGAAAGTGGTTGGACTAAACAAGGAGCGAGAGCCTCTTTCCATCCCATCCCTTGAGGGGACACAAATCCTTCCGGACTGTTCCAAACCGGAGCTGGATCTCGGCTTGCAACTCTTTTCAATGCCATTGGGATAAAAATACTCCTGTGCTCCAACTTAGAAGTTTCAAAATCCTCACTTTTTCCATCAAAGTGGAAGCCATCCATCCACCCTCCCTCCACACAACCATTCAGACTTATTTTTAAACCCTCTCTCCCTGTTTTTCAGCCCGAGCGCTCTCCCGTCCCGCTGAACGGATCGTGCTGTTCCCTCTCCTCCCTCCCCACCCAAGGAATGGCAGCTCACTCCAGGGGTTGATTATGTTTTCCAAACTCAGTGGTTCTGTCGTGCCCTTCATTACCCTCCCTGACCTCCCTTTCCCAATGACCCAATCCAATTAAGGCACCGAAGCAACGGCGCCCGCGGAGAGAGGTGGTTCTTTATTCCCTGGCACTGCCCGACCCCAGACACCAACTCCAGCCAAGGAGACTTTTGCTCTTTTCCACAGGGAGTATGGCAGGGCTCAAAGAGCCTCTCCAGCTCCTCTGCCAGGTCCCAATACCCACCCAGGCCACCCTACCACCGGTAGGAACCCTACTCTAGAGTTACTACGGGATTGTCTCTACCTTTCTGATACTCCAAGGTCTCTGCAGGAAGAGAAGGATTCCTCTGCATTGTGTGGAATGTGATAACATTAAGCAAATACACGATAATTTTCCTTGTGAGGGTTCCCTTCCCACCTCTGCTGATATGGCCCTCGGGCTGGTCCCAGCTGAGATGCTTTTCCCGTGGCACTGGAACACCTCAGCTCCTTTCTGCTCCCAGAACATCTGTCTTTCTTGGATAAATGTAAGTCACATTGATCCTTCCCCTCCTCTGATTCACCACTCCACCTTCCTTCCCTGCCTCCAAAATCCCCCTTCTTCCAACAGATCCATGTGGACACCACGAAAACATCACCCAAGGACCTTACAGCTCAAATCCTCAGTTCATTTTAGGGAGATATCCTGGTCTGGGTTCACTGGGAGTTTTGCCATGAAAAGCTTAATTTCTCACTTAAAAGCAGGGGGGATAGTTGTGTCGCCAACTCTGATTTCCTCCACAGCAGGAATTTGGGACTCTTACTCCAAAATGTTCGGATCAGACCTGATATGTCACGGTGAACACAAAGTGCCTTTATCAGAAGGATGCCCAGGCTTTGTGGGGAGACTTGAGAGGAAATCATTCCCGTGATTTCACTGCCTTTCCTCCACAAACCCACCCCCAATTCCCAGTGGGAATGATGCAGCCTGTGGCTCACACCTGCTGGGTGTTATCACACCTACATTCACCTTATTAAGCTTCAATCCTCAGCTCTCAGGTGTCAATGCCTACAGAAAGAACCAGGAGCTCCCATGGCTCCTAAAGATCCCAAAAAAACTGGGTGAGGGAAATGAAACAACTTATATAAACTTTTCAAAATAATAAAAAAAAAATCCAACTTCTACAAGTTAGATTCATTTGGACAAGGGCCTGAAGCTCCTGGCAGAGATGGGGCAGAGGAGTCTTTTTTTTAAGCAAAGAACAGGAGATTGAGGAAATACTTGCCTTTTTTTTTTCCTCTTGACCAAAGTAATTTTTGCCTGTTTTAAAAAGAGCCGCCAAATAAAAACATAAAATCAAAAAGATTTTTCTTTTCTGGCTGAAAAGAGGCACGAGGAGAGAAAATAGTTTCTTGCCTTTGCGTTTACCTGGCTCAGGAATTCTCATGTTCCGCACAGACACGATGTGGTGAAGGAGCTGTTCAGCTCTTCCCACCCACACATTCCAGCCAGAAACACACTTTGGGAGCAGCCAAGTGCAGAACACCCATATCCAGTGCAAGGTGGGGGGATTTGGGGTGGGATTTTCCAGGAAAAAGCCCTTTCAGTAAGAGCCCAGATTGCTGATATTTACCCACAGGGATAACAGAGGATGTGTCCTAAGGATGTCCCAGGACATAGGAGAGATCCATAGCCCCACTCACGCCTTTGGAGCTGAGGGAAGGAGCTGTGTGTGTGTCAGTGGATTTGTTGGCTCCCAGGGAATTCTGCTGGGTGTTCTGGGAGGCGCCACGGAAAACCACCCAAGAGCAGAACATGCAGGTCTCACCTAAGCAGATCCCGCTGCCTCTGTGGATTTTGGAGAAGTCGCAGTAGAGTCCCTTGTGGTGGTCACAGGGCCTGTGCAGGGAGCAGAGCTCTCCCAGCTGCCTGGCACACACCTTGCAGCAGCCACAGGCATCCAACACGTGGCTGGTGCCAGCAGGGCACTGCAGAGGCTGGGAGGGACACTGGCACGGGAACGTGCAGGCCTGTGCTTCTCCCTGGAGGGCAAAAACCCACGGAGAGGATGAGTCCGGGCAGGGAAAGGGAAAACACGGCTCTGCCGCAAGCACAGACACCCCAGAGAGAGGAGGGAGAGCCCAGGGACTCACAGGACTTTTCTCATCCCTCATTCATCTGGAACTCAAGGGGGGAAAAGATGCCTCTGGGAAGCAAAGCCAAAACAAACAGGACAAGCAGTAGCTCCGAGTCCCCTGCACAGCTCACCCCCCGCCTCCCTGGAAGCAATAAAGTGGTAATTATTAACAGCAAGCAATTCCAGCTCTTACACAGGACAAACATCAAAGCCTCTGCAGCACCAGCAGAATCAGACCCAGCTGGAGCTGGAAAAGGACGTGCACAGGTACAGAACTTGCCCAAAGTCAGGCAGCGGGATTGGAGCAGCGTTAAAAACTGACCCAAAGGCTCCCATTTTGACCCCTCGATTTCACACTTCCTTCATTATTCCCAGAGATTTGCCCTCTCCTCTCCCCTTTCCAAGGAACACAGCATAACCAACCTTCCTTGGGACTTTGTGACTCCAGAGCTGCCCCCATTGGCAGCATTTCACTGGCCACCCCTTGAAACCCACCCTTGGATTTACACCACTTCAGACATTAAACAGAGACCAGGCTATGGCTGAAGGGGGGTTTCCTGCTCTGGAAAACCCAAGATGTGTCCAATGACTGAGTCTGTGCCACCTTTGTCCTGCGTCTGCCTGGAGCAGCTACAGCAGCTCAGCTCTGGATGTGCCTGAATTTGGGAGATGTGACACGCTGAAGTCACACCTAAAGATCCTCTGAAACCTCCTCAGTGCCAACTCCAGCCTGGTTTTCTGTTCCTGCCCGCTCAAGTCCTCCCTTGCCCTGCTCCATCACCACTCCAACCTGCTCAGGCACTGCTGGACATGGCTCAGCTCCCACCCGGGGCTGACACGACCTTTGCACATGGATGATGCCACCAAAACACTCTGGGATCCTGCCCTGCTGTGACCTGGGTGGAGAGGGAAGCACCCAACTGGGCAAGCCCCTCACAGCTCCACTGGCAACCTGGGAGAGGGGCAGCCAAGCTGGGAAGAGCCTGAGGGCAGGTGAGGGGGGGACACACACCTGGGACAGAGGTCAGAGAATAAATTTATCTTTCTTTACAGCTCTGTTTGGACTTGTCACATCCCACTCAGCCCTCCCTTGGGAAACAGCTTCCTTGGATATTGTGTTTGTCACCAATAACAGCAGAAAAACTTTTCCAGCTGTTTTGACTGTTGCTCTGACTTGATCTCCTGTGGGGTAGGAAGGTGCCAACTGCTTTGTATGGTTGGAACACCCAGCACAGCCCAGTGCAGGACTGGGACTGGGCTAAACCTTCCCTCAAAATCATGGAATTATAGAATCATAGAATATCCTGAGCTTGAAGGGACCCACAGGGATCATCCAATCCAACTCCTGGCCCTGCACAGACACCCCAACAATCCCACCCTGTCCCTCAGAGCGTTGTCCAAACCCTCCTGGAGCTCTGGCAGCCTTGGGGCTGTGCCCACTGCCCTGGAGAGCCTGGGCAGTGCCCAAACAGCCTCTGGGGGAAGAACCTTTCCCTGAGATCCAACCTAAACCTCCTCAGACACAAATCTAGCCATTCCCTCGGGTGCTCCCAAGGGCTGAGTCCTCCCAGAATCTCCCTGCTCAGCAGGAATCAGCCTAATTCTCCTGAATCCCTCCTAGCACAGAGTATTTTGGAGCCAAGCCCCTCCTGCCTGCAGCCCAGCTGTTCCCAGCCGGCAGCGCTGGAGCAGCTCGCCAGGAGCTGGCACGTCACAGGGATCAATTCCCAACCACTGAAGTGCATTAAAAGAACTAAAAATACAGAAATCTTCCCTACTGTTTTTCGTGTAGGCAACTGCTGGAGCTGCCAAGGGATGTGTTATCCAGCCCCGGGTGAGTGGGTGGGGGGTACGTGAGCTCACACAAGAGGCAGAGCATTCCTGCCACGGGATCTGTGTTGAGATGCAATCCATGCACTTAAGAAAAAATAATGGCAACAAGCATTTTCCAGTGCAGTGTCAGCCACAGGCCATAGAAAGAAACACTCTCAAAATAGCTCTCCTGCTGAAATCCAAACCAAAACAACCTCTTGCGGGATGACAGAACACAGTGGAATTAAACCCATCCCTGGAAGTGTTCAAGGCCAGGTTGGATGGGGCTTGAAGCAACCTGGGATAGTGGAAGCTGCCCCTGCCCATGGCAGGGGGTTGGACAAGATGGTCTTTCAGTTCCCTTCCCCAAACCATGATTCTATGAGTTCTCTTCCTTGATCTCATTAATCCGTGCTGGCTCTGGTGGTTTCCTTGATAACTCACCCACACAAACCACCCCACCTGGTTTTACCTTCTGCTCCCAGCAGCTTCACTCCCTTGCTGTATCACAGCTGCTTTCAGAGCACAGCATCTGGATTCAGATCTCTGGCATGTCAGAGACCTGCTGGGTGACCCTGCACCCACCTCAGCTGTGCCTCATTTCCCTCAGCTCAAACGCCCAGTTCATCCTGGTTTTCAGGGCTCTTTCCAATACTCCAAGACATTCCCACCAGTCAGCTCAGAAGTGCCTCCCTCCATCACCCAGGCGGTGTTGGGGCTCCTGTTTGCTGGTTTTATTGCAGAGCAAAGTCAGCCCGTTCTATTTACTACTCCTGCTGCTCTCCCGGGTCCAGGAGAGGAGGGAATGAGCTGGAATTGGGTTTGGCTCACACCCCTCCTGACATTGAGCGCTGAAAAACGGCCTGGCCAGGGGGAACCTCTGGAGCTGGGAACAGCTGGGAGAAAGTCAACATTGAACCTGAGTCCTCTATTACTCAGTTTTCCTTCAGATAGGCTAAACAGTGGATTATATTGGATTTGCAAGACACACCTTCCACCTGCATTCTTTCCAAGGACTGCTTCTAGGAGTTGTTTCATCACAGCGTGGAAACTGCCCCAAGACTGCCCCAAAGAACTCCCCAACCTGTCCCCAGGAACTGCCAGGACTGGAATTAGGGGCTTTGCTGCAGACCCAAATGTAACACAAAGCCCAGCATTTCCACATAAACTACCACTGACCTGGGTCCAGAGAGATTCAACTCAGGGAACATTTCGTTTTCTTTCCTCTGCAGAAGGGGCTGCCCCAAAACTCACTTTGACTTTCACTGAGCAGGATCCTGATTTCAGGGTCACTACAGCCTTGCCCTTGTTTCTGTTGAGGTTGGCAGAGCACTTCTGTGAACTCTGAGAGCAGCAGAACACAACCAGTCTCAGGGATCAAGGCTGTGGAGTTAAGGGAGTTCTAAAGCCTGGAATATCAGCTCTCCCTGCTCCTGGCTTTGCTGGCAGCTCTTGCATCCATCACAAACACTGTGTGAGAAGCTGTGGGACTCCCAGGACTCCTGAGTGATGGCCAAGCCACCGTGGGAGTGCCAACACCTGGATAGAGGATTCCCCTGCCTCTGCTCCATCGTGTTCTCCACCTCTGACTCCCGGGTCCCATCCCAGCTGACAAGCCAGAACAAGCTCCCTCCCAACTGCCAGCACCAAACCCAGCTACCTGGGGGTAAGAAAGAGTGAGAACCTTCTTCCTGCTTCATATTCACATAAAACCCCTTCCTCAGCACCCTTAGGAAGGCACAAGTTGGGGACATGAGATCTCACCAGGTCTGTGGTACCCTCAGGATTCCTCGTTCCTGATCAAGGTTCACGGGAGCCCAGGGAACCAGCTGAGGGAGCCAAACCAAAGGGGACTTCTAAAGTTTATTTGGGCTCATCACTGCACTCAGAGGGCTGGGAAGGGAGAGTTCTGAGCTGAGCCAGGGGTTAATGCTGCAAGGTAGAGGTGAGATAATAAACATCCAACTGGTTCTCCTTGTGCTCCAAGACTGGCAGTAGATAAAGCAGCCAAAACACAGCTATTCATCCTCCAAACACTGGACAGCTGTGGATAATCCCCACTCTCCCTCTATCACAGGCTCTCAAGGCACCTTCCCAAGGCTGTTGCAGCACTTTGTACAACAACCTGTTAGGGGAGACAAGAACCAGTGATCCCATTCCCAGACAGTGGGGACATAGAGACCTGCCCAGGCTGAGCCTAAACATAACTCCCAGAAATCCTGGAACTACTCCCACCTCTGAACACCACCACAGGCAGATTCAGGAGTAACAGCTCTCATTTCCTGCCTTGATCCACGAAAAATAAATAAATCACAGATTCATTTAGACTGGAAAAGACCTTTATGGTCATTGAGTCCAACCCAATGCTCAGAGCTCAAAGAGAGGTAAAACTTCCATTTCTGAGGCAGGTTTAGGGAAAAGGACACATCTCAGAGTGATGTTTGAGGGTCGCAGCAGTGGGATTCACTGTTACTGTTTATATGACAAACAGGAGGCTGCCAAAGCTGAGCCAGTGCAAGAACCAAGGTACCAACCCGAATGGCAGCAGTTACCCTCAGATCATATCCCAGGGCACATTCCTGGCAGGAGAGGGGCTGGCACACTCCAAGTGCTGCCAGGAGCATCCAACAGACCTCACCAACAAGGAGTTTATTGCCTCTCTCAGCACAACAAGCCCTGCAAGTGCTTCTGTGAACCCGATTTCCTGATGTGTCCAAAAGGCACTTCCAACAATTTAGAGCCATTAATGACTGCAGGGACCTTCCTGCCAGTCCTGGCACGGGAACAGCACACAAACATCCTAAGAGGAATCAGCTGCTCTGTCAAGCACTTGTATTAACAGGAAAACAGGCACAAATCCTGCTCTGGAAACTCCGCAGTCTAATTTTCCCCTCGGGATCACTGGGTTTGGGAGCACATGGGTGGATTCAGTGGCAGCTGGGGAAGGATGGGGATGGTGAGGAACTGGGATATGAGACTGTTATTCCTCGCAGTGACATAAACTCAGTGACTGACTTTCCCTCTCTCTGTTCTCTTCTCCCCCTTGTAAACCAGGACTGGCCTTTGAATCCCAGGAGGGGGATGAAACAAAACCCATTCCCGTGTGCCAGGAGCTCTGAGATCCGTGGATGACTGGCGTTACACGGGGCAGCTCCGAGCCTCGTTTAATTACACAGCACGTTTGCGTCCCTCTGATCCCAGCCCAGCTTCCCTGGGAAACTCGGGAGCAGGTGGGAAGAGTTTCCCAGCCCAAAGCCCTCTCATGCATCCAAGCAAGAAGCTGCAGAGCCCAGGCAGAGCTGTACGTACCCAGCCAGGGGCGAGGAGCAGCAGGAGCACGGTCCGGGTCACTGTCCCCAAGTTTCCAGACATCCCGAGCACTGGGAAGGGATCCAGGCTGCCGACTGATTCCCGCTCGTTCGGAGTTTCTCGTCTCTTTGGAGCAAGTTGCACATCAGCTTCTCCTTAAATATCCTCTGGAGGGGGCGGGCCCCGCGCTGAGCGACGGGCTGGAACCGAGCCCGAAGGGGTGCAACAAAAACTGCCCAAATTCCAGGGAACACGAGCGGATTCCTGCGGCCCCCGCGGTTACGGGGCTGCCGCTGCTGCCTGCAGCCTGGTTACCTTCCAGGCGGGTAAATCAAACCCCAGTAAAAGCGGGATTGTTATGTTTTAATTTTCACCTCTTTCCAGCTCCTGGCACAGCTTTGCTGTCAGAGCCCCCCTTTCCCTGCCTGCGGCCGTTCCTGTTCGGCTGCAGGAGCCGAGGGGTGAATAAGCAGAGCTTTGCGGTGCTCAGCGTTGGAGCAGGAGGGAGGGATGGCAAGTTTGGAGCTGTCAGGTGTCACCTCTATCCCCGCATCGCTTGTGCTTCCAGCTCCCAGAAATTAAAGTTTCATCACTGGAACTCCTGCACGAGGAGTGCTTGTAGAACTCCTCTGTGTTTTACAAGGCAACGAATAGCTCCAGGATGAAGAGTTTTGATTAAGGACGGCACTTCCCTAAAGTGCTTTGTTTGCGCCTCAGGATGGATGCAGGATCTCACACACCTTTACTTTGGGGCAATACCCTTTCTGTTTGCTGCCGAAATCCAGCACCAGGCTTCTGTACAGCCAGCACAACAGACCTTTGGAATATGAGAGTTGTTTTGTGTATTAAAGAGTCGTTCTGTTTATTCCCAAAGAGGAGGCGGAGCGCTGCCGTGGGAGGAGGAGGAGGAGGAGGAGGAGGAGGAGGAGTGCAGCAGAGGGCACTCTTAGCCCTCTCTGGCCGAGGGTGGGACAGAGCAGGTCGGGTACCGGACAGGAGCCTCTGTGCTGTACATGGAGCGGCCTGAGCAAGACGGAGCTGTGCCTTAGGCAGGGAGCTTTCCCGGGGAGAAGTGGTGCAAGGTCTGGTACTTATTTGGGGCCAGGAGAAAGCAGGGGCTGGAGCCCAGGCACTGTCCCACAGAGCCCAGCACATCCCAGCTCAGTGCTGGGAAGCAGGGCAGGAAATGAGGGAGTGTAGTAGGTCATAAAATCATAGAATCACAGATCTCCTGAGCTGGAAGGGCCCCATCAGGATCATCCACTCCAACTCCTGGCCCTGCACAGACACCCCAACAATCCCACCCTGTCCCTGAAAGCATTGTCCAAATGCTTCTTGAACTCAGACAGGCTTGGTACTGTGACCACTGGGGAGCCTGTTCCAGTGCTCAACCACCCTTTGGATGGAAAACCTTTTCCTGATATCCAGCTTAAACCTCCCCTGACTCAGCTTCATGCCGTTAATTTAAATTGCTTTAACTTAATTTAAATTTTAATTCATGCCATCATTTACATTCAGCCTCCTTCCTGTCTGCCTCCAAGGGTAGGGCAGTTTAGCTGGGAATCAAGCCCTGAATTTCATCCAGGTCCTGTGTCCGAGCTGACAATTCCGACTCTTAACTAATTAGCACTTGGAAAGCCCCTTGGGATTTGGGGCTGGAGAGCATTAGCACAGTGCAAACCACCCCAGATGCACCTTCTTCTCCCCTTCCATAAGAGGGATTTCACAATCACTTCCACAACAGCCCCCTCTGCTCGTGTCCCAGCAGAGGATTATGTCTGCACACATTCATGTTCCGGAGGTGGCACAAACACCCAGTGCCCTCGGGCAGCTTGGAGCTCCAGGCAGTCCAGCTGGGGATACATTCCTTCCCCTCTTGGAGGGCTTGGCACCCTGAACTATGTTGTCACCTAAAATTAGCTGCTCACATTTCCCAGGACATTCTCCCGCTGCTTGTAAATAAGACAGGGATGAAGTGCTGCACACATCCATCCTCATCCTCTCACACTGCAGGAATATAAACCCCAGCTGAATCCTGAGCTCTCCAGGGCATCTGGAGGTGACACATTTGTGGTTTTTTAGAAGGATCATCACCCTGTGTGATGTGCGGCTCAATCCATTGCTCCTTGTCCAAGAATAAGACATTTCCCTTTCTCCAGTGATAGGACAAGGAGGAATGGTTTCAGCTGAAAGAGGGCAGGGTTAGATGGGATATCGGGAAGGAATTGTTCCCTGCGAGGTTGGGGAGGCCCTGGCACAGGTTGCCCAGAGAAGCTGTGGCTGCCCCATCCCTGGAAGTGTCCAAGGCCAGGTTGGACGGGGCTTGGAGCAACCTGGGCTGGTGGAAGGTGCCCCTGCCCATGACAGGGACTGGGCACGAGATGGGCTTTAAGGTCCCTTCCAACCCAAACCATTCCATGATTCCATGATTCTATAAGAAGCAGCAGCTGCACCTTGAACCATGATCTTCCAAACTGTGTTTTATCCCAAACCTGCTGTGTGACCTGGGATGAACTGTTCAATCACAGTCCTGAGGCTCACTCACCTGTCAGGAGTTCTGTTGGGAACATTCAGCACTAAGCCAGCATTTTGATGGCTGATTGGGTTTTCAACCTACAACAGAAGTAAAGAATAATTTGTTTATAAAGCATTCTTTCCAAGCTGCTCATCATCATCCACCTGAATGCTTCCACCTTCCCAGAGCAGTAAAACATACTGAGTTCAGTCCTGCTCATCCTTCAAGCCACGTTGCTCTTGAGTGTAGGAGCAGTAGGATGTGAAGAGGAAGCATCAGCTGGAGATCCCTGGATTTTGGGAGCTCCCTACACCCAAGTTCCAAGATTTTCCTGGGGCACTGGGACGACCAAAGCTACCCCTCATGTGAGGAGCTGAACTGTTCACCCCACTGGACATACCAAGAGGGAAAAGAAGAACATGAAGGTTGAGTGCCTCAGAATGATCAAAGGCAGGAAACACCCAAGTTAGCACCGATTTGTATCTCCTCCTTTTGCCTGAGCTGCCTCAAGTGAAGGGATAAAGATGTCAACCCTGCTTAAAATCTCCCCCAAGCAAAGCATAGTGGGTGTTTAATTCACCTTGTTACGTTCTTCTGGGTTCACTCATCCTGCCCAACCGGCAGCTTCCCTGAAGTCACAGTAATTAAAATAGAAGACATTCAGATAATTGCTAAAAATCGTGTCAGGCCAAGGAATAAAATGAAGGCAAGCACACACACAGTTTTTTTGGCTCCATGGGATCTCTCCCTGCCTGCAGAAGCCAAAATAAAAAGCTGGTACAAGCAGCATCAGAGAATTGTGCTCTCCCAGTCAAGGGGATTGTCCTCACCCAGTCCACAGTGACTTCTGAGCTCTCCCCTGTCCCAGAGCTGCTCAGTCACCCCCAGGACATGCTGGTGGCCCTAAAATTCCCTCTGAGGGTTCCTCCCTGTGTATCAGCTGTGTCACCACGTCAGTGGCTGTAAACTGTCAGAAGGAAGTGTCACAGAAATGCAGCACCAGAGCTCAGCAAAGGCTCAGTTCTACACCCTGTCTAACTCCAGTCAGGGTGCAAAGGCTTCCCTGCCCTAGGGATGGAAAGGGCAGGAAAAACCACCCCTCCTCACTCCAGCACAGCCCTGGGATGAGATCCTGACTGCAGGGAAACACCCTCTGGCTCCAGCAGAGCTGGGATTCCCTCAGCATGCCAGATGAACAGCCCTGAGGCCACTCTGCTGTGCCCACAGGATGTCAGGGAGGGGACAAATTTTGTCCCTGGCTGCAGAGTTCACTTGTGAAATCCATAGTTATATCAGTTCTGGGAGGAACGCCCTGCTGTATTTGAGGATTTATTGTGACATCGGAGTCTATCAAGGGATGTGACACTTGGGATGGGTGAGGTGGCTGCTGGTGTCCTTGTAAAGGAAGTAAATATATAAAAACAGTCTTGGCATCAGGAGTTTGGAAAGAGCCAGTGCTCAGACACAGAGCTGGCCAGGAAAAAGCAGACATTCTCCTCTAGGAAAAAAAAAATAAATGCCCCCTTTGGAGCCTGATCTTGGCAGGATGCAAAAATCCAGGTCTGCAGCACCAGAGTGTGCAGCCAAGGGCACCCAAGGAAAAGACACTGAACCCAGGGGATGCTCATTTCAGATCAGGTGAGCAGTGACAAACAACACTTCCAAGGATATCCCTGCAACAAGGCCGTGGTGTAAGAGCAGGTGACCTCCTGAGACCCTGAACAACTGCAAAATTTGGCTGTTCAGATGCAACTGTGAGTCACCATCATGGCCAGGAGCACTTGTGCCAAGGCACGGGCTTGCACAGAACTGCAGGAGAAACAGGCCCTGGGAGGAAACAGCTGCACCCACCTGTGAAATGGATGCTTCCTCGGGTTTTTCCACTTCTTAACTTACTGCATGCTTAATTATCCTGAAGGAAAACTGCAGGGAGGGAGGGCATGTTTAAGGTGGACTCGGGCAGGGTCATTTAAGGAGGCTGCCTGTGCCCCAGGACTGCTCTGATGTCTGAGACCAGCACTCCTGGTGTCTCCTGAGGTTTGGTCCTCCCCACCTGCACAGAAGGATGTGCTCAAGGGAACAGGGCTTGGGAAAGAGAAGGGACTAAGGGAGGTCTCTCTAGCTGTGGGATATGGCATCCCATTACTAGTTCTGCCTCCAAACACTGCATTTTCTCATCCCATTTTATGGGCACCAGGATCTGCCACCCCCTGAAGGAGCAGCTGCCCTGCCACCATGACCACGAGCTTCCTCCAGTGCCTGTGTCTACACAGCTGCATCCAAGAGGGTGCAAGGGGGAATTTTCCTCCGGATCCCACCCCTCCAAGGACCTCTGGCACCACTAGTGTCCTAAAATCCAGGTCTCAGACAAAACAGCTCTGCTGAAATCCCTGGTTCTTCCCTAATTCCCTGCACATCTCATCAGCCTCGACAGGCAGCAACAGGTCGCTGAGCTCTGCCAGGCTGGGAGGACCTCGAGGGGTGGGTGGCCTCCCAGGACTGGTGTGCAGCTCTCATTAGGGATTTGGGATTCCAGCAGGAGCCTGCCCACACCTTTCCCATTCAGGCTTTGGAACAATTCCAGCTCGTTACATGGAATCAGTGAATAATGTAGGTTGGAAGGACCCTCGGGTCACCTGGTTCTCCTGCAGCCCCTCCCAACACAGGGGGTAGAGAAGAGGGGGAGATTTTAGAGACTGAGAGAGGGGGTCAGTGGGGTCCCCCAGTTCCTCC